ACACCCAAAATAAAATGAAACTACAACATCATCATCATCTAATGTGCAACATTACCAAACCAAAAGCAAAAAAATTTGAACTGAAAGTGAAAAACTAAGGTAAAAAAATAGATTTTAATGTAATGTCATTAATTTTTAATTGTTATTATTTATTACTTTACTTATTTTATGTTAATATTAGTCATCCTAAACCAAAGGCCCAAAATGAGCATGTATATGTACAATAGAAACAAATTAACATATTTCTTATTTGTAAAAATAAAAATAAAAATAAAATCCATATTCGGTGCGGTTCGGTTAAAGACGCATCATTCAGACAAAAACCGAACCGCACTGAAATTTGTGCAATTTTTCAAAATGTTAACCGCATCGAAAACAGAAACGAACCGCACTGTATACATCGGTTTGGTTCGGCTTTTCAGTTTTGGCTCAGTTTTCTCACCCCTAGCTGCGCTTAGGTTTATGTTTGCTATTTAATTCGTGACTTGTACATAACAAGATCCTCACAGATTCCGACAAGTGGTATCAGAGCACTTGGTTAATTCGCTTTGTAACAAAGTTCGAATTTTTACGGCTTTATTTGACAAGATGTGTTCAAACGCAGCCATATATATTGGATTACATTCGCATAACTTGGTTTTGCAGGAATTAAGTTAATCCAGTATTACGGTCGTATATGTGTTTGATGAATGTTGTTGAATGTGGTGAATTGTTTAACTGATTTTTAAAGCCTTAGACATGTCGAAAAATTTAATGGACGAATATTTGTAATAATTATTCGTCATGTGGACACCAGATATATTTAATTATTTGTTTAGACGAAAATATAAATCCATTTGTTGGAACTACGATCGAATCGTGTAATTTTTTATATTATATTTTTCATATTGTGATCGTGCGATGATGACTGGGAGATCGCAAGGATCAACGAACCTCGACGACCCGATAGGTATCGGAGAAGCCGGGCGGAGGGCCCGTCGTGCATGGTGTACGGGGAAGCTGCACTGGAGGGCCTGGACGCTGGCCAAGCTGCGCGTTTATCAATATACTCGTTTAAATAATATTAAGTCTTCGTAATTATAATTGTTGATATGGCTCATATATTGACAAAGGAAGGAGGCAGGCTGATGCCTGCGAGCGTAATGGAGCGAACGTAGCGAGGGAAGCGGAGCGACCGAGCAAAGTGAGCGGAGTGGAGGGGCCGGAGCCCCCGCGGTACGGTACGGGGTATTTAAGTAAATTAATACCTTGTAGGGTTATAGTATAAATACATGGTGTATTGATGTATTTGAGACTATTGAGAATAATAAAAGATCCCTCCGCCGCCGTGGACGTAGGAACATTGCCGAACCACGTAAATCTTGTGTTGTTTACTTTTCTCGTTTTTAATTCGTAAGTCATATTGTCATCTTTACTCAACAAGTGGTACCAGAGCCTGGTTGATTGGGCGACGGAGATGACGGGAGGATCGAAATCCGAGGTCTCGAAATTTGATGGTCATGGCAATTTCAGATTATGGCAGACGAGAGTAAAAGATTTATTGGCGCAGCAAGGAATTCAGAAAGGGCTGCGCGCAGAAAAGCCTAAGGGGATGGAAGACGATGATTGGCAAGATCTGCAGGAACGGGCGGCCGGGATGATTCGGTTGTGCCTTGCAGATGAAGTTATGTATCACATTATGCATCTCAAATTGGCGGATGAGATTTGGAAGAAACTGGAATCGCAGTTCATGTCGAAAACCCTAACGACAAAACTATATCTGAAGCAAAGGTTATACGGGCTGAAGATGCAGGAGGGGACCGATTTAGGGCAACATGTGAATATCTTCAATCAGGTTGTCACGGATTTGGCTTCACTCGAAGTCAAGATTGAAGATGAAGACAAGGCGATGATCTTACTGTGTTCGTTACCTCCTTCTTACGAACATATGGTGACTACCCTTTCATATGGGAAAGAAACAATCAAGACTGAGGAGATTACTTCAGCGTTGTTGGCTCACAACCAGCAGAAACAGAAATCTGGAGAGTCATCTTCTCAAAGTGACAGCTTATATGTGAAGGGTAACCAGGATCGTGGAAGAAGACAGGGGCGAGATAATTCAGGAAATTGGAATTTCAGATCCAAGTCGCGAGAAAAATCGCAAGGGAGGAAAACTGTGACGTGTTATAAGTGCAAGGAACAAGGGTACTTTAAACGGGATTGCCCAAAGTGGAAGAAATAGACTGCTGATATGTCATCTAAGTCTGCGAATGTGGTACAAAATGATGAATCTGATTGCAGTGATGGAGATATGTTATCTATTTCGACTGCGCAGTATGATGATGCTTGGATTCTCGATTGTGGATGTTCATATCATATAATGCCTACCAAAGAGTGGTTTGCTATTTATGAACCAGGTAACTCGGGTTCTGTTTTTCTTGGTGATGATAGATGTTGCGGTATTGTCGGTATTGGGGATGTCAAAATCAAGATGTATGATGGAACTGTTAGGACATTATGTGATATGAGACATATCCCTGAGTTGAAGAAGAATTTGATTTCTTTGGGTACTTTGCATAGAAATGGTTTCATTCCCAAGGCTGATGAGGATAGGGAAACCATTAAGATTGTGAAGGGTGCCTTGACTGTGATGAAGGGGAAGATCACTGCAGGGAACATTTACAAACTGTTGGGAAGTACAGTTGTAGGTGGAGTCCATTCGGTGGAGTCGTGTGAAGATAGAACGAAATTGTGGCACATGCGTCTTGGACATCTTAGTGAACATGGCATGACTGAACTGCATAAGAGGGGGCTTCAGCATGGTGTTAAAACTTGCAAACTCAATTTCTGCAAGTTTTGTGTTCTGGGAAAGCAGACAAAAGTTAGTTTGAAGACTGGGAAGAAGAAGACAAAAGGAATTCTGGATTATGTACATTCAGATGTGTGGGATCCTACTAGAGTGACATCGATTGGTGATTCTGTGTACTATGTGACCTTTATTGATGATTTTTCGAAGAAAGTTTGGGTGTATTTCATGAAGCATAAATCTGAAGTTTTTGCTAAATTCAAGCTATGGAAGGCTGAGGTTGAGAACCAGACTGGTAGGAAGATCAAGTATTTAAGGTCTGATAATGGTATAGAGTACACCGATTCACAGTTCCAGAAGTTTTGTGAGGAGCATGGGATTCAAATGCATTTTACAGTGCGTAAAACACCACAGCAGAATGGTGTTTCTGAGAGGATGAATCGGGCACTGGCTGAGAGGGCGAGGTGTTTAAGACTGAATGCGGGTTTGCCAAAGAGTTTTTGGGCTGAGGCTGTAAGTATGGCTTGTTATTTGATTAACAGATCACCACGGGCATCTCTGGATGGCAAAGTTGCAGAAGAAGTATGGACAGGTAATGATGTTAGTTTTGATCATCTGAAGATTTTTAGTTGTCCTGCTTATGTTCATATTCCTGCTGATGAGATGTCAAAACTTGATGCTAAATCCAAGAAGTGCACTTTTTTGGGTTATAAGAAAGGTGTGAAGGGATACAAGTTTTGGGATCCAGTTGAGAAGAAGACGGTGATTAGTAGAGATGTAGTGTTTGATGAACAGTCTATGTTGGGATCAGATGCAGATAAGGTACAGGTGGAGTTGGAACATGTTCCAGCAGTTCTTGATAAGGGAGAGAGTTCGAGTTCTGCACCTGATGATGTTGATCATGATGTTTTTGGCCCAACTGATGTGCCAGAGAGCTACAAGTTAGCTCGGGATAGAGTGAGGCGTACCAATATACAAGCTCCGGTCAGGTTTGGTTATGAGGATATGGTCGCATTTGCTCTTACGCTCACTAGCGTGGATCCATGTACTTTCCAGGAGGCTGTTTCTTGTGAGAATAATGATAGACGGAAGGCTGCCATGGAAGAAGAGATGAATTCTGTACACAAGAATCAGACATGGGAGTTGGATGTTCTTCCCGAAGGGAAGAGAGCTATTGGTTGTAGGTGGATTTACACAAGGAAGTCATCGGTAACAGAAAAAGGAGGGGAAAGGTTCAATGCTCGATTGGTGCCTAAAGGATACTCACAGCAAAAGAGGATTGACTATGATGAGACATTTTCCCCGGTGGTTAGACATACTTCGATCAGGGCTGTTGTAATATCCCGTTATTTTATCAGTATAAATTATGTTTTAATTCTGATATAATAATGTTATCGATTATTATTTTCGGAATTAATTATTTTCAGTCGAGATTACCGAAATTTATTTTCGACGTACCGTTTACGTTCAGAATAATTTTGGTAATTAAGTACTATGCTTAAAAGTTAATAAAGCATAATTAAGTGATTAATTAAACATTAATCACATAATTAATGTTAAAAGCCGAAGCTATGTTCCAAATTTCCCAACAAAGCCGTACGGTTTGGCTAAGCTAATGAATTAAATTGGGAGTTATTTTCCCTCCTTCTTAAGTAAGGAGCACTTGTCATTTTAAGAAGGTAAATGGGAGATTAGTCACCATAATTTAGCTTAGTAGTTGGCAAGTGTTAAGGTTAAGAGAAGGCCACATCCTTCCTTCATCATCATCATCATTCGACCCTAGTATATTTAAGAATGTTTGGACCAAAAATCTCCCATCTTTTTCTATCATATACATAGCTTTATATTGTACCTATTAATCCTTAAGTCCAACAGCAAGTAATAAAGCAATTGGCCGAAAATCCTTAAGCATAAGTATGTATTCACCATATATTTTCCTTTCGGTTTTTTATAAGTAGAGTGTTTAGGAATACTATTTTCCCAACTTTCAGCCTATATTTTGTACCATATTAGCTCTTAAGCTCAGCAATAAGATCATCATACTACCTTAGGTCCATACTCATCGCACGGCAATAGCCTACCGCTCACGCGGACGCACACGCAAGGTCACGATCGATTGCGATATTCCGACGAGCACTTAAGGAGGTATAGCCATCCTCAACTTATTTTTATGGCAATAAGTTCATTTTAGGTAGTAATGTTCGAATCATGTTCAAGAATTCTTAGTATTACCGTGTTGAGGTTCGAATATGCCTAAGTTAAATCGTGATCGAGTAACTTCTTGTTTTACCCGGCAACTCACGAACCATTCATGTTTAAATGATCAGTTTACCTCATTTTATGTTCAGTTACTTGATGATGGTCGAGGAAAAATGTAGTTTTATTCGTGAAATGGCTCAACGCCTTTGGCAGCGCCTATCGCGCATGGCCACGAGCTGTTTCGTATCACGTTATGTTACTTTCAGTTAGGGTCAAGATTGTCCGTGTGATTTATGTCCCAATAACTTTAAAATGATGTTTCATGTTGAATTGGTCTTGAGTTGCCGAGGGATAAGTCGAGTCGGTCGGGTGACGGCCTATCGCCGTCGGCGACGCACGGTGCGATCGCCACGACCTATTCAGTCACCGTGCAAAGGTAATATTTTTAAGTTAATTCAGTGATCAGGATTAGGTTATATTAAGTTATGTTCAGTGAAGTCAGAATGCTAGGGAGTTAGTGCTGGACGGCCGGCAAGGGTCGGCCGTAGGCCGTGCTGTCCGCACCTAGCGGTAGTCACGCCCAGCAGTCACCCAGCACAACGGCCAGTGTGCGGGT